AGTCATTTGCTTAAGAACAGCAGTTAGTATTTGTCCCAGAATCCACATGCTGCTACTTTTATACGTATTGTGCATTTTTATAGATAGAGGGGTCCTGCCTGTTCTTCAAAGGAGTCTTCAGCATTGCAAAATTTGACGCAGAGTGCACAGCTGAAGACCCAAGAAGAGAGAAGCAAAGGGCATGTCCATGGGCCACCACCAACGCTCCACAGGGTCACCACCGCCTGCAGCTGCCGCACGAAACCGGAGACTTCAACAACTTGGCAACTTTGAGACATAACTGATCATTAATTAATACAACAAGCTAGTTCATAAGACAAAATTGAAGTTCTGTGTTGTCATTTGCCAAGTTTAGCCGGCTGGATCTCCATGAGCAAACCTGCACGGCCAACTGATGCACGAGATGTCACCGGCTCCGACGTGCGCAGACCTTGACAAGGATGGACGTGGAACTCGACACACAAAGCTGGCAAAAAAGGCAGGTCTAGTAGAAACAGAAACACTTTTGAACTGCTCCTTCTCAAAGATACAAGAGATTTTCTGCGGATAGAAGATGGTGACTGTAAAAAGAAAGTGCCATCAATACCATTTTTACTACTCAGGGGAAAACCGAGTGGTAACAGAAGATTCTCAGTTGAATTCTTGACGACGCAGTAGTCTTCTAGGGATCAGATTTCGAAGAACAGCCTTCAAGTTGTGAATAAAACATTACAAAATCCAATGAAAATTTAAGAAAAAAAAATGATGATTCTTCTCCAAGATCTTCAGACTTCGCGACCGGGTCCATTCGAGGCTGTTCAGTGGCTGCACTTGAACATTTTGCCAGAAGCAAAGGCGAAGCGCAAACAGAGGGAGGGCATATTCACTAACTGAAATTTTTTCTATTTTCAAAACCACTTTCTTGGGCTACCAATCCTACTAAGAAACCACCAGGATCACTTGCCCCCTTCTGCATTCACTCCGATGTAGCAGCCAGGCCAACATGGAAAGAATTCCCAGTCACAATAACAGTTTACTCCAAGCTAAGTAGTACTGACCAAATCAACCCCCTTTTCCTGTTCCCACAAGTCCAGGATTTGAGTTCTGCTGCCATCCAGCTGATTTTTTCCTCAATCTCTGTAAATCCTGCCTTGGTAGCCACATTTCGTGTAGGCATACGGGCTGGGATTCCCAAAGAGTGCAATCTACTGGGAAAAGGGTCTTTGAATAAACACTGTAAAGTTGGTTCAAATTTATGCAAATCCCTACCTGAATTTCCATTAGCTAATGCTGGCTCTCGGCCAGTCAAAATACCTAGATTTACATGCTATCTGGTTAGAGAAATAACCATTAAATTATTGGGCAAATCAGCACCCTACTTCATAAGGCAGAGAAGTGCACACCTCACATTGAAACTGGATTTTTGGTGGTGCAAATCACAAGAGAGTCCAATCAACAGGCCCATTTACACTTACGTACCAGGAGCTTCAACTAGAGTTATTGATCAGTAAATCCATCACCTTCTCCAAAGAGTCTTAAAGCTCCTAAAACCAACCAAAAGCGAAAGGGATTGCAGACTGTTCCCTTTAGGAACCCAAATTCATTTTTTTTAATTTAAATTTTAAAATAGTACCTTTTTTCCCTTCTTTTAAAAAATAATATCAGAACATGTTTAATAGAGAACTGGGTGTTTTGGAGCCTATGTCGTACTGGCATTTTGTTAGTGCTATGCCAGCACTTCCCACAAAGAGAACAAGCGAAAAGAAAGGTATGAAAAAAAGTAGTTCCGATTTCTTTCTCACTTCACCTACTGGAATATGGAGATGGGATAGTTTCTCCCATGCTGATTTCCTACAAAATAAGACAGATTTTTTTTTTACAAATGCATGTTGAGATGTCCAAAAACGCAGACCCGCGATGCCCTGACCAGAATATCTGAGTGTTAGGAAAGGATTTGGGGGTGAGAGCTGTTTGGTTGGTCTCACTGGAAGTCAGGTTATCATTTACCATGAAGGTTACAGGCTTCGTGTTCTTCAGCCTCTCTCAGGCCACGAATCACTGGTAGCTCCTCGAGCACTTGCTGCTGGGTTGTACCTACACGTTTGCACAGCACCTATGGACAGGGAGACTATGTTCTCTTGCTGCTGGGTGTTTCTTACTAACTCGGTAAAATCCTTTTATAGCAAAAGTTGCTTAAGCCAAAGAATAAACATGAACTTGGTAATTAAATGGAAATATGCAGGTTGATTTTGTGTTTAAATGCTTTCTCACTAAGTCGTCCTCCCAGCCCCGCACATACCCTAAACAGAGTAGCAGTCCAACCACTTAAGACTCAAGTCTTCATTACCTTTAATCACAGTGGGCACGACCCATTAAAAGGTTACGCATATATAAACCTGATGACATATTATTCAAAAATCCCTGCAAGCTATTTGCCAAGTTCCTAAATAAAGCCACTCCGAAAGGCAGCTGATCAACAAAGCAACCAAAAAGAATGTACAAGATGGATAAAATACCAGAGCTCAAGATTTTCAGCGTAACAATCATGTCCAAATTCTTGAGTGTTGGGAGCTCTGCAAATTCATATCCTGATTTTCAGCAGGGCTGATATCTGTAACGTCAGAAACACTTACTAGAAAACCCCACGCAACATCCTCTGCCCCCGTTTCACTGCCTCAAAGTGGGCACCAGGAAGAAGAGCTGCTTGCAACCATTTCAGCTTCCTCTCCTCCTTCACACATCCGCTTCCCCACGTGTAAAATACAGAGCAGCATCGCCCTGGAGAGATTAGATGACTAAGGCTCTTTGGTGATGAAAAGCCTGCTGTGAAGATGTTCCTAAAGTGTTTGTGTGTGCTACAGTGATACACGACCTATTTCCAAGTGTCACTTGTGTGTCCGGAGCTGCAGCAGGGACAGCTGGTCTCCCTGTGGGCTCACACTTGCCTCTCAGGTTGCCCAGGAGCTGCTCCTGTCCCCCTGCACACACAGGGTGGTCCTCGCAGGCAGATCTCCATCAGTTCGGCACCTTCTCTGCTGGCCCTGGAGCAAGGCTGAGAGGAGAGAGGAATGTGTGTGCGTGAGCATAAACACACAGCTTGCAGAATGAAAAGGGAGGAAAAGAAGAAAGTTACATTCATATATGTCCTTCTGAACACAATGCATGTACGTGTGGCAGCTGATAACTGAGCTTGTTCCCTCCAGTGGCCTCACTGCCCTGGGTTCACTGCTAAGAGCCCAGCTGTACCCTGGCTGGCTGTGAGCAAAGTGAGGCGGAAGAGTGACATTTCCTCCTTAATTTTCTGTTGTCCACTAACTAAAGCAATTCAGAAGTTCCCTACATTGCAAATAATTACTGTAGGGGGAAAACTAAAAAGCAGGGTCCACCCATAAAAAGATCTTTCACTTTCATAGCAGGAAAGAAACAGCAAAAGCTGGAAAAAAATAGGATTTTTCCTCCCTGTTCTGCAAGTGTCACGCACGTTAAACACGACAAGCACACAGGCCAGGAGCGGAAAGGCTTTCAAGCAAACCAGTTTCCAAACATTTCCCTAGGATATCACAGCAACTCTCTAGCATTAGCAGGAATTTGCCTGCATGAGTCCCACATGCACCGCTGTCAGATTAGGCTCCTTGCAGCGAGGACATGATGAGCATTTGGCCTTTTCTGTTCCCAGGATTTTTATGATGCTGGTAAGAGTACGTCTCAGTGACTTTAAAGCGAGTCACACAGGGACTACGTGTGAATAAGCTCAGCACATCAAAGACGACGTGGTTTTATAGTCCTATAAAACACGTCTACAAATGCTGATGAATTACTCGCAGCCGCTCCTAATTCAAGCTGACAGCATGAATAAAGAGCAGTGGACACTGATAGCAACCAAAAAAAGCACATCAGGCCTAACAAGTAACTCTAAGAATGTAGGAAAATGGCTCAGATTCTGCCCAAACCTCCAGCTCTGCCTCCGTTTCTTCTACACTGTCTCATTAATTAAAGTTGGAAGATGAACACTGAGCAGTACCTTACAGGCTGGAAGTTTCATACATTTATATAAAATAGTCAGATTCCTCCTGGCAATCTGAAACAAAGTCGTCACATCGAGGGCAAACAATCTTCTTCGTCATCCCCTGTCACCTTTCAGCGTGTGGAAGACAGACTTCCAGGTGACGCAGCTGGAAAAAGGGCTGGAAAAAAAGAAATCCAGTGCTCCCAAACTATACACACCAGAAAGCATTTGATCAGCGTGCAAGGCTTCAAAAGGCACCGGTCTCATTCAAGCTGTCAAATATCCAAGTAGGGAGCAAGTCATTACCCTGCTCTGCATCTCCATATTTTCTTCAGACAAGACTTTCCCTCAACCTAGCAACTGAGAGAGATGACTTGGAAATTACCTAATGATGAGGCTCTTTGCAAGTATTTTTTCACCTTTTTCCTCCATTAGAACATAATCTCTCAGGCAAAAAGCACGAATATGCTTTTAGCTCACTTAGGTAAATTTAGCTACTTAAATATTTAGGCCTAAACTCCAAAAGAAGCAACCTTAAAAATTGTATCTTGATAAGCTTGTTCCACTATTTAAAGAGAAAAGAATAAAAGTCCATCTGAAATGAAAAGCCCTTTGAGCACGGAGCAGCTCGAGGCTCTACAGCCTGAGCAGAGGAGGGTAAGGTATTTTTTCCCTTCTTGCTCACATACCTGCAAACATTTCATTAAACAAGCTAATCTCCTTTAAATCTCCCCAACAGGAAGCTCAGTGACCTCTTCTGCAAGTCACCGTACATTATCCAAACAATTCATTTTTATGCAGGGCTTTATCTCTTTGAACTTTAAAATAAATGTTAGTGTTTATGAAACACACTGGATCAACAGCTCTGGGATTATATAAAAAAAAAATCACTCTGGAAATAAAAGCTGTAACACAGGAGCAGTCGTGCAACCTTCTGCAGTGGCACCCTGCTCATCTAGTGCAGTTTCCCAAGAAAGGAGTTAAATTATTTGCTCTGCACTGTGCAAGGAGGACTGAAACAAGCTGGTACAAGTCTATAAAGTATTTTCAAACCAAGGGGACGCAGAACATTGCATCCCTTCCCAAAGCAAGTTTAGTAAGAGCAATATTTAAAATAATACCTTCCCGCAAAATTGCCTTGTCTATTCCTCAATTCAACCAAGGTAACACTCATCTCGGACCATGAACTTCATCTGAAAGCTTCGTGCTCTTAGTAGCACAAATTTCCACAAAATGCAAGTTCTGTGGCACTTATAGCCGCGCTGGAAACAGTACATGCACTGAGTGCATTTCAAGGAAGAAACAGGGGAAGAAGTACCAAGTGGCAGAGTCTGTAATTATTTAAGCTCCAATTTTAAATATCAGCATCCTGGACAGTCTCATGTCGTCTCTCTCCCCTTCTCACACATCCCAGTTTGACTGGGATGGTGTTTTACAAATGCTGCAGGCAAAGCACTTCCACGTCACCCACCCTGGGTAAATGAGGAGACATTAATGAGATGAACCAGCTCCAGTTCCACGTGCTAAGGACCATTTCACGGGGATCAAAAAGACCGACAGACACGTTATCTTGAGGGCCACCACAACACCGCTGGTTTGCGTAAAGGGGCTTTCTGAAGAAAAGCCTCTTTGGTTCCAAACATTTCTCGTCGAGCTCTGCGCGTGCTCTAGGGGTTTCACCTTCTGCACGGACATTTCAGCCAACGTTTCGGGCACGTTAACGCTAATGTGGCGCTTCCAAGAACCTTGTTTCACCTTGCAAACGCCAGCAGTGTCTCCCAGTAGTTTGCTCATGCTTTAAACAGGGAGCCTCAGCAGAGAGAGATGTGGGTACCTGTCCTGGGATACACATTTGTTTATCCGGGCAGCCAGAAGCAGCACGATGACGGCAGAGCTATTCAGTATCACTCCGAAGCCCCTGCTCTTAACACCAAAAACCATCTTCCTGAGCACTTTGCGACTGTGCCAGGCCCGTGCTGAGCCCCGAGGCAAAAGCAAGAGCCAACTGTTGCCTTGGCATGAGTTGGTACCTTCCCTCCTTGCTTCCCCTCGTCCCTCTGGGTCAGCACTGAAGCACCCCACGTCCAGGGACCTGAGCAGGCAGAAGATGCAGCCAGCAGAAAACATGAGCCTTTTTTAGTCAAACCATCTCCTCCTATTTAATTTATTGCCCTGCAGCGTGAACTACACTGCCAGAAAAAAGGAGGCACCCTGGATGGAGGGGGAAGAAAGGGGAGGGCAGCGGAGCCGGCTTTGCTCTGCTGTGGAAACAAACCCTCTGCAGCTTTCCGTGAGGATTCAAGGGGGCTAAACATGCCTTTGTTTTCCTAAAAAAGGCAACAAAACAGCTATAGGCTGTTCTTCAAAAGCCAAGATCTGTTAGTTACAAATACCACTGTTCCATAAAGAAACAAGATCTCTTCCTTGGAGGTGCACGGTAGTACCTGGAACTGAATCCAGGAGACCATCCCTCCTGCAAGCTGCATGTGGAGATGTTAGAGAACCATTATGGTTGGAAAGGACCTTGAAGGTCATCGAGTCCAACCACAAACCCATCCCCGCCCTGCCGGCTGACCCACGTCCCCAGGCACCTCATCCAAACAGTGCTTGAGCGCTGCCAGGGACGGTGACTCCAGCACTTCCCTAGGCAGCCTGTTTCGAAGCTTCACCACCCCTTCCATGGAGAAATGCTTCCTAACATCCAACGTGAACCACCCCTGTCCCAGGTGTTGGGCAATGTCTCTAGCAGCAGCAGGGCATTGCACTGACAGCAGTGCCAGGGCCATCCTCCTGGCCCTGGAAAGGTGACGCTTCCGAGGACACCGAGCAAACGCTGCTGTTACGCAGCGCGGACGGACGTCCCGCTCTCATCGTGGTATCCAAAGACAGGGCTAAAAAAGGCAAACGAGCTGGTAAAAGTTTGGGGTTTTTAGGTTTTCTAGCACTCTGGCACTCAGCTCTAAAAGGTTGCTCCGTTTTTGTTCTGATGAGTTGAGCACTTGCACGCTCACAGAACGTCAAAACACAATGAATCTGTACGTTCAATACCTTCACAGGGCACAACTCTGTGCCACCTACCTAACGCTGCATCACGGTGCTTCATGCTATCGCTAGAAAATATTCACAAATCCAGAGAAAAAAAACAGCAAAAAAGAGGCTGCTCCAAACAACTTTCTCACATTTTCCACAAAGGACGATCTACGACCCACTGCGAGGGCACGTTATTATTTATGTATGGAAATATAAAGAGATAAACCTAGCTATAACATATTCCACACGCAGAGCTGCACAATATACATGTGAAAGAGCTTATCCATGGGAATCCTGCAACAAATGTAAGGTCTCCCCCCGAAAAAAAAAAAAAAAATCTTATTCCAGAAACAGGATAGAAATAATTTAGCCCTGGACTCAAAGGTTTTCCTGTACTGAAAAGTCAGAAATTTGAAATCCACTCCTAGGAAACTAAAAGAGAAAACCCACAAGATTCTGAAGAGAGAATGGGAAAATTGTCTCTTTTCCTTGGCAGTCAATGCTCATCTCCTTACCCTAAAACAGCAGGAGATTAGAGAGTTTAAAGTGCTGCTTTTTTGTGCATTGAAAAAGCTATCAGTGACTCTTCTTTGGAAGCTTTTAACTGACATCTTTGATGCCAGACCAGTAGCAATGAAATCCTTACCGACAGGTGAGTTGCTGCATTTTGTTTGTTAGGTTTTTGTACAAGAAAAACTTGACCAAATACTTCCTTCCTAGTGCAGAAAAGACATTTAGTGTCTCCGTACGCAGCTACACATGCTCCTGGTACAGAGTTTTATCAGTGTCTGCAAGAGCTGGCGTAATTCCCTCCTGACTTCCCCACTCGTGAGGAATGAGACCATCACAAACTCTCATTGATAAGGGGAAATTACTTGCCTTGGGATTCTGCCTCGCTGTAGATAACATCCTAGAGGATTTCTTACTCCCAGGCCTCCTCTTCCTAGAGCGAGATTTGCAGAAGTCACCAAGGCCCTAAAGTTTTTCTGGATCTCATGGATGATGGTAACATGGTTGGAGTAAGAAGATATTTTATGCTGAGCCTCTTCCTCATGTTCCTAAATTTAATTCTTACCTTTAATAGAGCTGGTCAGCTTCAATTCTATGGCATTACTTTGTTTAGAAACACCATTAACGTCTGTCCATGGAGTCCCAATCTTGAATTTTTTTTGCAAGACCAAGTAGAAAATGCATATCTATGCAGGGAGAAGACTGACCAGGAATAAATCACTAACTCCTTTAATTAGGCAGATTTGTGGGTAAGGAGACAGTGAACATATTCAAAGGACACATTGACCATGTCATATTTGCCATTTCCAAGAAGTACCTAAATATACTGCATGCTCAAAATTGGCCATATCCATTAAAAAAAATAAAAGTGCATTATTGTGCAGTCAGACAAGTCTTTAGAGTAAAAAGAAAGCAGACCTGGCCCATGTAATGAAAAAGCAGGTCAGTGTAGGAGCCAGAGAGCAGATTTCAGGAACAGGCCAGAGGTGAAATCACCATCATAAATCTTGTCCCCACTTGTAAATAATGCCAAGCTCATTTCTTTGACCTCCTCCATCAAACACTGGGCGAGATGTACATCTGTGCACTATATACTAAGGTAATTCCAAATAAATAAGTAAACAAACATCTCCTCCCCGCAAAAAAAGCACACAAAGAAACTAAAGATGCCCACAATAATGTATACATCTCCATGAGAGCACACATGACAGACGATAGCTCTGTTGCTTGCAAGAGACTCTCATGCTAAAGTGCTAGGCCTGGTACCAGAATATTCCCTAAGCAATGCACAGCTTTAGCATCAAGAATCACATAAGACTTCCCTGAAAACCCAGTGGCAGCAGCCTCAGTGCAGTCACCTCAACCAGCTGTAACTCGGGCTTAATTACAGGAGACAGCAGGCCATTGGAGCTGGGACACTTTATAAGACTGGCATGACACAGCAGCACAGAACAAAAATCTCTACTGTTTGAAAGTGTCCAGATAAACCCCTTGGTAGAAAACAGGAACCACCTTTCCATGGGCCATAAGGAAGAAACCACAGAAAGTTTGTGAATGGTACTGAAGCTCTCTGGAGTTTGTCTGTAATAAATGTGGTCACTTACCTCAATAAAGTCTAATTGCAGCACAGCTCTCCCTCGAGCGTGACAACACTCTTTTCTGTGGTATTCTGGCTCTAACAGCTGTGAAGTTGAAAGTTTGGCCGCTTGAAGGCTCCTTACCTGCAAGACGTCTTGGATCTTCACCCACACATCGACCATGTCATAGAGCTTGATATCACCATCGTGCTGGCTGGAAGGAGACGCCACCGTCTGCTGCAGGTGCATGAGGACGACGGCGTGAGCGGCAGCCACAGCGTTGAACTTGTCAAAGAGAAGCTCGAGCAGTTCCAGGAGCAACCTATAAAGCACCAAGACAACCTCCGCTCAGTTATCAGAGCACATTGCAAACCCTATGTCATGTAGCACATCTGAGCAATGGGCCAGATTCAGAAGATTTTGATGTTATACCCCGTTTTTAGAGGGATACTGGGTATAACACAGCAAGTCTATGGCATTCTGGTGACCTCTTTCAGCTGAAACCAGCTTAAATTTACTACCTAAATATTTCTGAGGATTTTCCTTTGTACTGTGTATCTGAGTTTCTGATTTTTAGTGGGTTCCACTTGAGTAGACAGGAGAAACAAGGACAGGTTAGCTGCATTAGCAACTACCCTTAGCAATTTGATATCATGATTATCTGAGGGCTGACCAAACCCCCAGACAGAGCAACAAACAGAGAGAAATTACCTGCTTCTCCCCAGAAAAAATGAGTGGTGGAACCACACACACAAACCACATATAAGATATTGATTCTGGATTATGAAATGATTATTATGAAGGATTTAACATCACGAAGATGTTAAAGAAAGCAGAATAGTAGCTATCTATGCGAAAGCAGAAAAGACTGCTACTATCAATATTAACAGTAGTTAATTTCAATATATGAAGTCCAGTGTGGAAGAAAAGTCATTCTTCACCACTTTTTGTTTTTAATAAATTCTAATAACATGTTCAAAAAATCAAGCCATGAAGTTACGCCTGTGGGAAGAGCCACAAATCTTCCCCATTCCCTGAAAAATGCTGCCCTTTTACTAGTGCTGACTAATGGTACAAGTTATAGGAGGAGATGGGCCACGATGCAGCCACAGCTGCACGTTGCAATTATCTTCACCCTATTCAAGGGTGCTGGAGAGCTTTTGCTCTGACAGTCTCTGCATGAATGGGTAGAGAAGCAGCTAGGACATGAGGCTGGTGCCACCGAAGCCAGAAAACCAAAGGAGGAACTCAGATGTACAAGAATCTGAGAAAATTGCTAGGCTCCAGTTGGAGGAACTGGTATCTAGCTTTGGGTGGGCCACCAAAGGCAGCTTTAATTATAAACATGTCTTATGTGATCAAATTAAGCATATGCTCTTGAGAAAATTCATCGGTGTAGGCACTATTTCCATTAAAATCCCACACTACTAAAGCAAATTTAGTCGTCCTAGGAATGCATGACTTTGTCAAACTGAACTAGTTGCACAATTTGAAGAGTTTGGTTTATTGTTCTTAAATAGTTATTAAGTAAACTTAAGTTCTTTAATAACAGTAATACGCAGTAAACTTAAGTATTACACTAAAAAAGTTATTTGTTCTCAATTGCTAATGCTTTCCTGTTCTCATGTTCCAGATTGGCAGAAGGGATACCTTTCCCCAAAGCATCCTTCACTGTATCTCACTACCAGCACTTTACAATCTCCACTCTAAACCAACACCTTTTTCCACTTCTCTTTTCAGCTTCTCCAGTGTCTCCTCTCTTGTCCTCACTCCCTTTTCTCTAAATATCTTCTGAATCCGTTAGGGTATTTTTGGAACAAGTTGACCTGACCGAGACACAGAGCCAGGATGCGACTGGCAGCCTAGAAAGCCGAGTGGCACAAAAGGACTTGGATTTTATGTGTACAGGTTGTGGCACCGAGTGACCCCAGCAGGACACACACACACACATGATGACAGGAGCCTGGCTGAGGCCATTTGTCACAGCAGGCTCACAACCCCTTGGCCATAAAATATGCGAAACACATTGAGAGACCCAGAAGCAGCTCCTGTTGTCCCAGGAGGAAAGAACATCTTGCTGCAGAGCGACCGCTGACACCTCACCGAGGTGGCTAATCACAACTCAGGAGTTTCACCCACAAGAACATCCTTTGCCTGGTCAAGGTGTTGGCACAAACGGAGTTTTTTGTATTGATTTTACAGCCTCCAGATTTGGTAAAAAGGCAAGTAAAGAAATGACTTCTCAACTCAAATGAAATACTGCATTGAATCCTAACACTGGGAATGGGTAGCACGACAGCTCCTCATGGGCCAGATTTTCAACTAAAATAAAGACAAGTTATTCCAGCCAAAATCTTGCCCTAAATTTGGACTTTGGGTAAACATGCTTCCAGATTCCTAGTCTTCTAAAGGCAATAACCTTCCATAACTCAAAAGCTGCCCCCAAATTCACTGACACACACCAGGATTCACTCCAAAGCACTGCAGCACGACCTCCTCTATGGAGGACCCAAGAGGGTCCCACCACCCAACGTAATGACTTCTATACACGTGTCCTAACAAGCCACTCGATATCAAGTCAACAGCAGTTCCTACATTTAATCACCACTTTCTACTGGGTCTTAATCCCTCACATCATTCCTGTTTCACAGGAGTAAACACTCACATCAAGGAGGGCTGATATTCATAGCAATCTATGCCTGCAGATAAACATCTGGTGTTCAGGTAGGCTTCTTCCGAAGAAGAATCACAGTGACAGAACAGTGGAGGTTGGCAGGGACCTCTGGAGATTGTCCAGGCCCTGACGCAGGCAGGGTCACCTTGCCCAGGACTGGATCCAGGCAGCTCTTGAGTATCATAAAATCATAGAATGCTTAAGGTTGGAAGGGACCTCTAGAGATCATCTAGTCCAACCCCCCTGCACACGCAGGGTCACCTAGAGCACGTGGCACAGGACTGCGTCCAAGCGGGTTTGAAGATCTCCAGAGAAGGAGACTCCAAGAAGGATGTTGATTATCTCCACAATTTCTCTGGGCAACCCGTTGCAGAGCTCGGTTACCCTCACAGTGCAGAAGTTTTACCATATGATCAGAACATCTATAGTGCAGCCCCCCTGCTATTCCTGCTAAAAGCACCTGGGACTACATTTCATGAGGACACGCTCCCATTTCCTTGCACCACTGAAAAGAAAACCTAAAAATCAGGTGCATCACAGTGACATGCAAGTCTTCCCTTTGGGGCCTCATGAGTGCAAAGTATCATTCTGTCATTCCAGGAAGATCCTTCAGATGTGGCAGTGCCATCATTTGTCACCTGGAGTCCAATTCAGTGAGGGAGCCTTCCCAATTCCACAGTAGCTCTCCAACTAGACTGTTTTTCCAGGAGAGGATTACAGAATCTAGAGGCCCAGGACAAGATGCCCATGGCAGAACAGTGTGTAAGATATATTACACCCTAAGAGCTATATACTTCTATATCTTTTGACCTGAGAAATTTGGAGCAATATTTCAAAATGTCTTGATACACAAGTGTAGAAGGCAATCACCCAAATGAGTGACCATTTTGGAATCCAGATGGTCATTACCAGCCCTGAAACTCACCTGGCAAGTTCTCCGGCACAGAACGAGGGGACTCTATGTATTTTTTTGCAAGTTCCATGAAGGAATCGCACCAGGACCTCTACAAGCAGGTTAGCAGACTTCAAGGGGATGGAGACATCATCCTTTCCATAAAGGAAACACATGAACCAACCTTTGGGAGCCACCAGAGAGCAAAGAAGAAACAAACGGAACTTGTGCGGTGCATCCGTAATGATCCGAGTACAAGTTGTCCAGCAGAAGCTTCAATATGAAGCTTCAGGCTTCTCTGTCAGCTTTTATTAGTCATTTTATTTACAAAATTTCAGAGTTTTCATGGATATCCTTCAAAGTACTGTGGCTGCACAGTGATATGAAGGAGACTAAGCCATTCTAGATGATCCCTGGAGGTCCCGTCCAACCTTAAGGATTCTATGATTCTATGATTCACACATGGTTAAGGCCAACTGAAAAGCAGTTTACTTGCCAAATACTGAGGTCAGGCAAGTATTGTGGCTAATAAATAGTTAAGCAGTTCTGGGAGCTGCAGCGGGCTCACATCTGGGGTCTTGCAGAGTTTTTGTGGCACAGGAGGAGACCCTTTCTGTTCGTTTTTTGTTTTGTTTTGGAGATGAGGAAAAAAGTCATTTAGTTGGGACTTAAAATGGGGGCTAATTCAAGGGGCGGGATACGTTTCCATACTGTAAATTATTCTTCTCCATATAAATGGATTCACCTGCTTACTGCAACCTCATAAGCAATTCTGGTTTAGAAACAGTTCTAATTATCTCCTTACTCAACAAGAATTCGAGACATTTGCCATAGGGCTCATGGAAGCCCTACTAATGCCACATCAAACCCTGTTACAGCTCTTTGCGCTTCACCCAGCCCTCTGGGGCAGGTTAACATCATTAAAACGTGACCTGACTCAATTTATCTATTTTAACGTGCAGCCTCTGGCCACGTGGCCTCTCCAGACTGATTCACAGAACAGGTAGCAGATACAAGCTATGCTCCATCTTGACACTGGGGACTAAAATCCTGTCTTCAGACCCACTCAAAAAGCTTGTTCTAATTTCCCTGAGATATCAGTACCAGAACTCTATGAACTCTTCAAAACGGGATTTTTTTTTTTCCACAGCAATGATAGAAATTGAAAAACAAAGAAGTGCTCACCCAGCTAAAGTTTGCCCTGGGAGAGATTTTCCACTGCCAAGTTTCCACACAGTGAAGAAGCACATTTTTGTTCGGGGATTTTCTTTTCTGGACAGTGCTCATTGTAACATGCAGTATCACATTTTAAGATTTCAGATTAAAGTGATAAAGAGTTTTGTTTCCAGCAAAACAGTTCTAGAAAATCCTGAAGGCTATTGTTAAAAAAGAGCAGAAATTTAGTTCTCAGGCCCCTTGCTACTAATGTAGATGTGGCTGCAAATCAACTAGAAGCTCAGCCAGATATTTACCAATGTCACTGGTTACACAGATGATTTCAAAACCCTGCTCCTGTATCCGCTGAACTTCAAATAACTGAACTGAATCTTCTCTTTCCAAGTCATATTACATATGAACTTTAAATTCCTTAGGCATTACCACCAGTGTAAAGTCATGACTGAATGCAACACAAGGCAGCAATTGGTATTTGTTGTGGCACCAAGCTTTTTTAATATTATTTATTTCTTATAGTAAAGCTATGCTGGCTTCTTTCGTGCTTCCAACTTCGATCAGCATTTTAAACACATCTGTTCAGCCAAAAGAATGTCTTCTATGCTTTGACCCTGAAGAGAATATCTCCCTTTCCCACACTCTTAGCTGAGAAGCAGAAATACCTCCCATTTTGGGATGCACCTCCTTAATCCCCACGCACTTCAGGTGCTCAAGGAACATCAGCCTTTCCAGGAGATGCATTTCTGAAAACACTACCATTTCCAGTTTCTGCCATTTAAAGATTTTAGGCATTCCTTTATACGGCAACCAACAGATAGCACACCTTCCCCGAAGACTTACTCCTGCAGCAAGTTTCACTGCTTGAGACCTCCTTACCTGGGCTGATTTTCCTGCGAAAGACTCTCCCCCCTCTGGTAACCGTTGTCTGCCACCTGCGTCGTGGAGCGCTTGACAATCTGCTTGAGCTCTTGCTCTAGGCGATCCTGGATGGCTTTCACAGTTTCGGGGATTTTTTTCAGCTTGGCCAGCCCTTTGATGAGGATGCCCATGAAGACAGTGCTGTTCTCCTCCGGATCCAGGTCTGCATCTTCCTTAATTTCCAGGAGACTCGTTTCTCGCACTGGAATACATTTTAAAAGACATAATCCAAGGCTTAAATAATACAAAACAACACTTTACACCATATAGAAACTATACAAAACCCATCTGTGTTCATCGGACTCCTGCTCCTTTGAGTGACCAAGGAGTAAAGCAAGAAACCATCAGCACTTGGATTTTTGGGTGGTTGTGTTTGCTTGGGGCTTGTTCTCTACATAAATACAACAACCTGCAAATTTGACCTCTTCAAAACTCAACTAGGGAACTGTGGCAGTCTGCAGCAAGTCAGACACCCGTGAGGGCAGAACGTGGCTGCACATCAAGAGGGCTCCAAGCCCTGAATCCCCAGCCAGTTCTTTTTCTTCGCAGAGCTCTTCCCACGACAGGGATTTTCATTATGAACACTATCTAGCTCAACAGACTGCTGATGGATTCGGCAAAGTTTCCACTGCCAAAGTGAGGGATGGCTTGATGTTATCCTGTTCTGCTTTATTACGTCTGTCAAGGGCTTGATGAAGTTACTCAAATCTGTGAGCGAGGCTTCTAGAAAAGAAGAGCTAGAAGAATTAAAAAGGATATTGTGGCCAGGGCCCTCCTGGAGTAACCGGGCCGTGAAAAGACAAATTCTGCTGCTAGGTGGCTTCCCTACCAGGAAGTCAATGTCTTCAAGGCAAACCCAACCAAAGCATCTTGAAAGACCCGCAGTCGTGCAGCTTGTTGGCAGCAGGACGTGGACAACCCGCACAAAGAGTGGATCATGGAGCGCTGCCACCCACCAGAGCGGGGCCTGACACAGGAACTGCAACCCACCTGCTGCCTCATCCTGCTGGTGCCCAACTCCCATGAGGGCTGTTGGGTGGCAGATGACTCGCATGGCTCCTGCTGCTCAACAGATTTCCTCCTTAAACTTCAATCAAAACATCTAAAGTCATCCAAGAACCTAACAAACATCAAGCGATCCACCAGAAGGATTCAAATGACACGGCAGGAACGGAAAACGGCGTGTCAGGAGGAGCAGGCAGCCCCAGAGCTGTCTAAAGACCTGACACTCAGAACCAAAGACCAAAGTTGACATTGGAACGGAGGAAACAACGTCCCTAAGAGTCCATATGCATCAACAGATCCTGCCTGTTTCTGTGGGAGCTCGCAGCAGCCTCTCCAGCAGAGATTTGGTTCCCTCGGGCAACCTAAGCCCAAAGGGGGCATCCCTAGCTGAAATTGCTAGGGATTTGGCATGATAGCAACCAAGAGCAGCAGCAACGTGGTGAAGTAAGGACAGACCTCGCTAGGTCATAAAGAAAATCCATTTAAAAACGTAATTTTGGGTACTTCATGGGTTAGATAACCACGTGGAGACACCCAGAATGCTGTGATTAAGCAAAAGCAACAATAATATAGGTGATGCTTAGAACACACAGGAACCTTAACAGCTCTTGAACAGGCCAGCAGGATGAACAGGCAGCCCTGCATGGAGCTCTCCTCTCCTGCCTGCTCTGCTCCAAACATCACAGCACACAAACACGAGCTCTGTGGAACGAGCACTGCCAACACGACGACACTGGACACACCAGAGGAAGGAAAGCTTTGAGTTACTGTTTCCATAAAAAAACCTTTACAGTTATGAGTCTGATGCGTTGAACCTTGACCAAACAACCTTTCAGATAGCAGTTCCCAGCATTACGTTGTGGCCCCTTTCTAGGTGGGCTACAGATTATTAATATCACACAAAGAGAAGCAGAGAGGGAAGTAGTAGCACTGTATCCAAATGTCAGGACTGCTTTTGAGGGAACTAGAGGCAGCAATCTGGGATGAAAATGTGTATTTGCAAAGAGGGCAAGCCAATGTTGACCTCCCTTAGCAAGCCAGGACCTCGATTCACATCTCAAACAAGTACAGTGAACACTTCTGCATCCAGCAGCAATGCACTCGTTATAAATTCTGCTCCATCTGATCCTTTGGTAGAACAGTAGGGACCTGGTTCCCACCCGTTCTGCTTATTGGACATCCTAGAGAGCTCTGGGGCCCCATTTGTCTTCAGAACCTTCAAGATCCCAACCCCTGCAACTGGAAATGCTCCTCTTACCCCATTTTTCCCCACCATAGGCACCCCCTTCAAACATTGAATGCCATCGAGGAGTTATCTGACCACAAGGCTCCCCTTGCCCCTTACCCTCTTTGGAAAAAGGCATCGAGTAGACACCTATTTAAACAGAATTTCATCATTAAAATTGCAGTCCCATGTATTATTCTGCATGGGCAGAGGAGCCCCACAGATGAAGGAGGAGGCCCCTGCAGCTGGGCTTTCAGGACTGAAAGTTTCAGCTATCTTTAATTCTCTGTTTCAGTGTAACTTGGCCATTTGCCATTCATTCGCATCAAGCCACAAGTCCAAGACTGTCAAGACTCTATTCCCAGCTTTCTACCTTCATCCATTGCTAGCCATAAAATACACATTCCTTTAAAGAGGTGAGATCATTGTTCATTCCATGAGCATGCTTTACCTACAGAAGTCATGAAAAATTAATAAAAATAATCATGGTAAACATGCAAAGAATAATTTAATTACTGTAAATTGGGCGTTTGCTATTAGATTTGATTAACCTCTTCTCCTTTCTGGTTCATCAAAGAGTACAAGGGGAAAAATAACCTACTTTTTAATTAAAAACAGGTTCATATTACGCACAAAATAATAAACCTGGAAAATGTCAAGAAAAAAAACCCACGGGACTTCTAGTAACATCCATTTTTGTTTATTATATTCTTATAGGGGATAGAAAATGTGATGTCGATGAATAATTTAAAATGCAAATTATTAATATTTCCTTCCTCTTCTCCCCCATACTCATACCTTTAAACTTACATTTTAAGTGCGATGTCAAAAACAGCCTCAACATGCTGCTTTATTGTCCCATCCTTGCTATGAAGCCTTGTACCATGTAAACTCTTTGCCCACGCAAACCAGTAGCAGGTTCAGGCTGCCTAAAGTCTAGTCATTGGACTGAGGCTTTTGAGGATCAGCGTGATCTATAACTTAAATGCTTATAGCTAAACTGTGTTCTTTGGCCAGCCAGTTTTCAGCATCACTTCCTGATCTGAAGGGGTTCTTACGGCTTAATTCTATCCAAAGATGACATCAAATGACCTTGAACACCATTCAAGGTTGAACTCAAACTTGGTTTCTCAGTAGCTTCCCAAGACAACGACCTCAAGCTCTCTGCTTGGAGCACTCTTTGCAACATCCTCTGCAATGAAATACTCCCCTTTCCAGAAGGGAGCTGTGCATGTGAAAACACACAACTGTGCTTAAGCAATCAAAATCCACATTAAATGTAAATCACTAGAACGTCGCATCATGTTCATCATTGATTCACCACCTCCACTAACCTCCACAGTTACGAAGACGGAAATTTCCCCGACGGCTCCGTGCTTTGATGATGCCCTATAAAAACGTCTGCTCCAATTGATGGTGCCCTAATTGGTATGGCTGCCATTCCCCCAGAACGAACCCTGCTGCAAGAGGCACTTTAATAGCTCCAGTCTGACCCCCAGAAAAGTCACCGTTGATAACTCATTTAAGCAGAGCTACAGAAACGGCTCTTGGGTCTTGTTTTTCATTCCAATGAATGGCCAAAATTTGCTGCTACTTATTACAAAAGATTTCATTAGCTGGGAGCTTTTATGGGCAACTAGTAAAATTTTATGTACTATTTTTCATGATTTATGTCTCTCCAGATTATACCCTTCTTTCTTTCAATCCTTTTAGAGAACAGGATGCAAGTTCATAGCGTCCCAAAGGCATAATTTGAGATTGAGGGAACTTCAGCTGCTGATTTCTGGTGCTGAACCCTTGTTTGTTGCCTATTACGGAGACAACAAATGGACAGTTATTTAAAAATTAAGTCCTTTAAGAGATTTTGACCATTTTATCTGCTTTATTGCCAAGTTGAAAAGAAAATGGGTCTCAGAGATGAATATCCTCTCAAAGGCAGGAAATTTTGTTTTTCAAAAATTGCTGTTCACGCAGCTCCACCTACAATTTCTAGGACATTAGCTCTCAAAACAGGGACGTTTTCATTGGACATGGCTACTCTCCCAAATCCACCACAGCATTTCTTGGGAGGGAATTATATAGGCCAACTTCATGAGCCCCCATGTTCAACCTCCTCCTGACACAGGCCCACATGAAAACTGAGTCTCCAAACAAAAATACATGTGAGTTCCGTAATCTCTTTGGCAACTGCACATAAGAAAACCTAAAGCAATTCTACAGGAAGACAGACCTAAGGGCTTTCCTCACGTGGAGTCTCCTTGATTTGCCCTTCCCAAAAGGGGGCACACAAATAAACCACGTGAATCTCCACTCACCATCGAGCCAGAACACGATCCATTGGCGAGGGCCGGTGAAAGAAAGCATGGATTTCTTCATGCTACGCCAGAGGTTTTCGTGTTGGTTGTGCTGTTGAAAAAACCTCCTTAAATTACACTACAGGCTGCCTCTCAATAGCCTCTGGATAAAAATATACCTCAAGGCAATCAGAAAGAAACTCACTTTTTTATGCAGCTTTGCAATGATGGAGGAGGGAAGGAATTAGACTCACTGTGGGATCCCCATCACCTGCCAGTTAAGTTCTCGCTTGGATTTATGCAAATGGCAAATGGCTAACGGGACAACTGGGGTTTAGTGAGGGGATCATTTAGCTTTCAGTACTAATGATGATGGAGAAAGTCACCCAGCTGGTCTATCAGATCCCCAGGTGAGGGTAATAGGAACAAAGAAGCTTAAAAAAGGCAATTGTGACAATAAACAGAATCCTACACCGGCATTTTCACAACCACCTTTTAAAATGGGCCCTTAAATCACAGTTCCATGAGGTATTTCACAGGTAACTTCACAGGTCTTCGTGCTTTTTGGCCAACACAGATACACGTATGTTATTAACGAAACAGAGCCTGGAACAGTAACTGGACTTCGTTTTAGAAATCACCATACTGCTTGGACCTACAAGTCTCATTTTCCTCTTACAGCTGGGATGCACAGGTGACTGAATGTACCATCTGCTCCATATAGGATAAAAATTTACCTATCCTGTCAACAGCAATATTCCTCGTTACCCCCTCAGCTCGTGCTTTGTTGAGTGGCTGTGAAGAATCACCCCAACCTTTTCACTCCACAGAGCTCTTGGCCCTGCTGGTAACACTGGGTGAGCACATTTTATGGCTCCAGGAAGGCCCTGGCAACACAGGAACCTTCATAAATACTCCTCAGAGTACAAAAAGTCCAAGTAGAAGAATAAAACTTAGAAGTGAATTTATTACTCCGAACCGGCAGAAAGGGAAAAATTATTCCTGGTGAATCGCCGCCGTACCTACAATCCTCAGGTGAACGTTACCGAAGGTTTTGTTTATCCTAAGAGCTGCAGGATCTGCTTTAAATTCCTTATAAAGATTCTACAGCACAGGGTAGCATCTCCCCTGGCAAGGGAATGCAGAAAGGGACTCCAAATCTTGGCATCTTCTTTGCTCAGATGGGTCGAATGAGTCAGTGCTTTATAACGACACGCATTAATATGCATGGCCACTTTTTTGTTTCCTCAATAAAAAGCCAAAGAACTTAAATGACTAAAAGGCAGAAACAGCTTTTGTTATGCATACGCATAAGTTTTAAATTTTCTGCTAGTTCTGTAATCCTGGAAAAGGTTGCTTTTAAATAAAATTATCTGGGAGAAAATATACATAAGTACATTGTGCACTTGACGCAAAACCATACGCATATTTTATACTAATCAAATGTTATCTGTTCCATCCTGCATCTTTCCCAGTTTGAGGGACATCTGCCCAGCACTTTGCAGAAGGGTAGAAAGGAGGAGGGAGGTAAGAGATCGCTGTAGTGGTTTGGGCATGAACAGCAAGAACAGATCTGCAGAAACAAGAAGTTTGAGGATGGATCCTCAACTGACCTATACGAATTTCTAGTGACTCCGGATGAGGCCATCGGGGTCCTTATTTCCAGGCATTTGGGATCTAAGGCTGTGCTATTTTATGCTCCGAGACAGTCCAGCTCTTAGACATCGCTGTGGTCTTCCTTGCTGCATGTACCCTAGAACCTTCATTCAAACATGGTATAAATTATCTTAAGTTTCTCTGGTTTATAGTTAAGTGATCTGTAACACCATCAATACTGCTTCAAGCACATAACGTTCAAATTTGCAGATTCAGGGAAGTCTCAAATGAGTCACAAAACATATAGGAATGCTAGTTCCACTTCTTGCTCTGCTAGCACGAGCTCCTAAAAATCAGCCTTCTCTTACTACACACGTAAACAGCGTCTAGCACGTTGCAAAGGGAACCACCAAAATAAAAAGAAAGGAAAATCCATTCTAAAAATACAGTCTTACTATTTGTGTAAGAACAGGTCTCTGAACGGGCTAGAATAAACAAACCCCAAACCTCCCTACTCTAACCTGAGATAATACATTAATTAGGGATCCCATATCCGCCTGTAAATAAGAGATAGTAGAAAAACGTCTTAGGCTTCTCTGTGTCAAAACAAAAGGGAATCTAACCAAGTTACCTTGCACTTTGCGCTCTGCCTACAGGAGAGACATCCTCCACATGCCAGGTTACCTTCCTGCCTCATGTAACTCAAAATCACTCACAATTTACAGAAATTATCTTAGAAAAATGTGTACATGTGGGTAGTCCAGACTTATTTTTAACTCATTCTGGATACATTTTATCAAAACCTGGAAATTAATTTAATTCCACCTCCAAGAAGTTTTGTTAATTCAAAACCAAAGTTGAACATTTGTGGTTCTGCATCCTTGAAGGCTTCTGTAACCAATGACTGTAAGTCCCTCTACTGAACAACACAGTTTTTTCCTGTTGCTGTCACTGTCATGATCCTGGTGGGTGAGACCATCACGGGCAGTCAGAGCTAGGTCAGCACAAGACTTTTCCACTGGAAAACAGCACCTGAACCGGCCTCTGCTCAAGAGGCAGCACCTAAACAGGTTGACGGGCATCAGTGCTTGTGAAGCCCTAGACTATGTAAAAAGCAGGATTTCTTCAGACTTTCCTTTGCAGATAAAATTTCAGTGGCTGGCCACACCGCACTAGAATGAGTATTCATCTTTACAAATAGATTTCCACTGGTTGCTGGTTCCACTGATAGAAACGAGGCTTCTTGGGCAGCTTTGGATAATAACGAACCAGCGCCAATCTCAGATGTGGTAAGAAAAGGCCAGGTGTGAAAGTCTTCAAAAGGTGGAAAGTGCCAATAAAAGCATTTTCAAAGTCTGTTTAAGGTTATTATGCTAGTAATTAATTTTTATATACGTATATATACACATATATATATGTGTGTATATATATAGATACACGTGTGTATGTGTATATATATTTATATATATACACACACACACACACATATTATATATACATATATATATATATATATAAATCAAACAAGAAAACACTAAAACAACCAAGAAAGAAAGGGTAGGATTTCCACTCTTCAGTAGCTACATCTCCTGCAGTCTATTCCCCTCTAAAGACACAGGACATCCCTATCAGCTCCAAAAGACTTCTAAAAAATACACACATACATATGTATATGTATACGTATATTATAGAGAGGATTAACATTCTAGGTGGAAAATAATCAGTAATAGTAGACACAGTTACTAGAATTAACACCAGTACAAGAGTAAAACCAGAAGAGAATAAAGCCCAAGGGTTTAAGACTGGAAAGCCAATGTGGCAGGAGAAAACCAGAAACAAGCAGACACAAAATGGACAAAAGAATTAAACATAAAAAGGAAAGGAAAGATTGACCCCATGGGAAGAAGAGGGAAAATGCAATAACGTTTGAAGTTTTTTGGAGATTATATGGAGGTGGAGTAACCTCCATATAGTTATATGGAGGTCATTTTTAGGTCTTTATTCCTGTGTTAAACAAAACCCCACTTTTTAATCCCGCGAAACAATAGAAGTCTTAATTCCCACCTGCGCAGTATTTTCAGATCCTCATACAGAAGACATAGTGAAGCTCGGCATTTCACCTGTTAACATCCACTGATGTAACAGATATACAAAGATCAGCACAAGGATAACCTTGTGTTTAGATAGACCTTTCATCAGATTTTCCAAGTCTCCACAAAGAAAAATGTTGACCTTTTGGCTCCAACCCAACAAAATGCTTCTGCATTTCTACCCCTGGCTAAGCCATTCCCATGTTTTATGGGGAAATCACTTGATGGGAGGTCCTGAGACAGAAAAGATACCATCTCCCATCCACGAAAAGAGGATCAATGCCTACTACTGTATGCAAGAACATCTGGAGATGTAAAGAATTACATATAGTAGGAATGCATGTGATGAAGTACTCACTGCTGGAGCTTCCAGGAGTGCCAAACTGGGAGGTGTCAAGGAACTTTCGGGGTGTAGACAAGTTAGAAACATCCATGAGAGGTACAGAAGAGGCATCTTTCACAAGGGAACTGTGCAGGAGCAAAAACAGCAAAGCAAACCATTTATTATTATTTGCAATCTTGGTGCATTAGAAGATCATTTATTTGTTGAACTTGAGAGTCTAAGCAATAAAGACAGAGATATAAACAGGAGAAGTTTAGATGCTAGAGACTTGCCAAATCTAAATTAAAGCACAAGCCCACGGATGGATATATGTAAGTGGATGGACATACATATTTTTGAGGGGGAAGGCGAAGATCCACAAAGCAATGATGAAACAACACAGAGATTAAAGACAAACTCTGGACACCCACAGACTCTCAAATTTAAAGACAGAGATATAAACAGGAGAAGTTCAGATGCTAAAGATTTACTAAATCTAAATTAAAGCTTGTGCTTTAATTTAGAGCACATATATCCATTAAAAAAATTAAAGCACATGGATATATGTAAGTGGATGGACATACATATTCTTGAAGGGGAACGGGAAGATCCACAAAGCAATGGTGAAGCAACACTGAGAGATTAAAGACAAAATATGGACACCCAGGGACTCTCAAATTCAATAGGAGGAGAAACCACACGTTGAGTGGGAGGGATGCTCCCCTTTCCACAGCTTCCATTAACCACTTAATCCTTCACTGAAGGCCTCCATCCTTTCTCTGCCCTTCGAACTCCTGCTCTGCGCACACCTACACACATTGCTCTCTAAAGGGACGTTCATACTCCGACAGGAAACGCTTTCCACTTGGTTGTTTCCATAAGGAATTCACAGTGTTATGTGCCAAGGATGCGTCATGCTGCCCCAGCCGCACATGAAAGGTAGGAAGCTGAACGTGGCAGGGGAACACAAGCAAGAAATCCTTTTTTTGAGGAAGCGGAGAACGCTCCGATAATGACTTTGAGAAGTCCCCTTGGAGGTCAGAACACTTCCCAAACCCTGCACAGTCGAGGGCTAATCTTACCGACCTGCGGCAGAACCACACACATCCTCTACACATCCACAATCCCAAATGGAAAGGGATTGCCTGGGCCCTCCAAACCAGCAATGGTAAATACAACACACTTGGAGAGAACCTAACAAATAATTTCCATCCTAACTGCATCCTGCTCCCCAGCCAGTCTAGGCTAAAATGAAGCAATGAGGCTGTTCTTGATCCAGGAGTTCAGATTACAAAATATCAATGGTGCGCAACAGGGAATGTGGAAAAAACAAAGAGAGAAAACAAGGAAAAGATAAGGGTCCCTGTAGCAGGCATACGAAACTGCAAGTTAATTAGCAAATACGCAGTTTAGATACAGTAAAGTTTTTGTCTTTTTTAATTAAAAGGATGAGTAAGAAAGAGACTGAGGACTTGCTAACAACCCTCCTTTCCAGGACTTGTAACTTCAATCAGGACTTTCTTTCCTAAAATTTTTTAATGCAACTTACTATCTCTCCTGTTATTTTGAGTTAGCGCTTTATTTCTCCTCATAATAAAATGTTAAATTATCTTTTCTCTGCACCTCTATAATATGATAATGTCTCCTCTCTGCTTCCTGCCCTTATTACCTTCCCTACTCTGCAAGGGAAGGAATTAGACTCACTGTGGGATCCCCATCACCTGCCAGTTAAGTTCTCGCTTGGATTTATGCAAATGTCTGCACCTCTATAATATGATAATGTCTTCTCTCTGCTCCCTGCCCTTATTACCTTCCCTACTCTGCAAAGATTACAGTCCTAAGCTTTTTTCTACCCTTTCTTCCCACCAACTTTTCTATTCCCCTCAAACTTAGAATTTGCCAGACGAGACCCAACGTACTTGAAGTGAATTTCTACTGATGAGAAGCACCAACCAGATAAGGAGTCCCAACACCTTAAAAACACTCCCAATAAAGCCAACACTGTCCAGACAAAATCACACAGAATCCCAGAATGGTTGAGGTTGGCAGGGACCTCTAGGGATCACCCAGTGCAGCCCCTGCTCCAGCAGGGACACCCAGAGCACGGGGCACAGGGTGGCATCCAGGCGGGTTGGACATCTCCAGAGAAGGAGCCTCCACAGCCTCTCTGGGCAGCCTGTGCCAGGGCTCTGGCACCCTCACACCAAGGAAGTTCTTCCTCACATGGACATGGAGCTGCCTGGGCTTCAACTTGCACCCATGAGCCCTTGTCCTGTCCCTGGCCACCACCCACAAGAGTTTGGCCCCATCCTCCCTACACTCTCCCCTCAGGTGTTTGTCCATGTTGCTCAGATCCCTCTCAGCCTTCTCCTCTCCAGGCTGGACAGGCCCCGCTCGCTCCCTCTTTCCTCACACCACAGATGCTCCAGTCCCTTCAGCATCTTTGTCACAGACACCTGAACAGAGCAGGCTCTGACTAGGAACCTTGTGCTTAGCTACAAGTCTTTTAGACCTGGCCAGCTTGCTAGATAAGATGAGCAATTCTTCCCCAGGTTCTTCCCTTTGCTTCACCTCAGCCATCCTGATCAGGGCATTCGTAGGGCAGGTGAATGCAACACAGAAGGAAAAGCCTGCTGAGAGGAACCGACCTTGCCGTAATCCTGTGGGAAGCAGCAAAAATACCCAACAGAATCACTAAGCAAAGGCAGAACTGGAACAGAATGTTCTCACGCTCAAAAGCATATCAACATATTTTGTTTTTTTATGTTCTTCACAGCCATGAGTGCTAGGAAGCTGCTTGCCAACCTACCCAAAAATGAAAGGACGAGGCATAAAGTCAGTGGCATTTTCTGCCTGTGAAGGGGGAAGTGTTGCCTTCTTCCCTTCTTAGCCTCCAATAAATCACACTGAACCAACCTGATTCTCCCTTTCTCCTTGCTGCGTGGTCCCACTCGGTTAGTTGATTTGATGTAAAGATGACGGTGCAGCTCATCTATGAGGACCAAGTGCATGTTCATCTTCTTGCTGTGAAGCTCCAGCCTCAGGTCACTCAGACCCTCCACCTGGAGAAGAGGACCCTCCAAGGAGTCCACTGCTGACACCTGGAAGACACATGACAATTTTTAACTCCTTTCATCTTTGATTAACACTCCTCTCTTCTGGTCTTTCCAAATACCTCCAGATTTTTTTCCTCTCTTTAGAGCAATGTCTGAACACCCCGACAACTCTATCCAAACTCCATTTTAGAGTAGAAAAAGTTTACGTATTTCTTGGTTTATATTCCCACAAGAAAAGCCAACTTACAGAAGGGATCAGAGACCCAAACAACTCATTTAATGAGCATTCTTCAAACATTTTGAACATTAAGTATAAAGCGAGCTATTTTAAACACTGTTAGGTAAAAATCAAAGCACACAAAAAGAGGATTATCAAGTGGAAAAATGCTGGGAAAAGACACCAGCAACAATGTTCAGATATCCTTATTCTTTTCACTACAGCAATATCAGCAAAATATTACTCTCATTTCTAGAAATGAGGAAAAATGGCTTAAGTTTTATTTGCCTGAAGGGATATTATGTCATACCTGAAAAAGGTTAGGACTCCTCGTCATCTGGCCTACATAAGTGCTGGATCATGTAGCTACACAATTTAAACCATCTCAGCAGATTCATGAACCTTCCTGCTAGTTCACAGTACTACTGCTACATGAAAGTACTTTTCAAATCTATAGAACTTTTATTTACGTATTTTTTAAAAATTTTAATTATTACGTGTCAAATTGGGAGGAAAAATTTTACAGAAATTACAGAGCAACAGGCAGGAATCTGGGCATGCAACAATAACCTGGCCATAGTTCATGTGCCAACACGCTCCAGTGTCAACCAGCTGACATCTACCTGGCACTAGAATGAAAGACCTAACTAATTTCCACTTATACCTTAAAAAGGAAAGCAGCCACTACAGTAAAAGCTGTCTGGTTTCACTGACCATCACCCTTTGCATACACAGAAACTGAGATTTAAAGGGTTATTTTGAAAATTCATTCCCCTCATAATCCAAGATATTATTACCGAAACAAGACATTTGCTTACATGTCAGGATTTAAGTTGGTAGTGAACCTGTCAGCTAAGCATAAAAATGCAAAGCAAGGAGATACAGTCAGCAGACAGCCAAGCTAAGGTCTGGTCCCTCAACAGCAGTAAATATTAACGATAGTGGAAGAACATAGATCAGCACTGAGTTATTTGGCTTGCTTGGAGTCAAGAATGACCCTGAAAATAGCTTTGAGTCAGCCAAGTTTTTGAATGCAAAACATAGTGTCTAGGAGGAAACTGTACTTCCTTCTGCCTGAAGAATGTTGCCAAGCCCCTGCTAACTGCAAAATCCACTTCTCTTCATGAATGACCAGAGCTGGTAGTTGGTAGAAGTAAGAATGAGGAATAGTTTTATGTTCTTGCTTGGGCAAGTGGAATGAACCCCCAAGTCCTGGTCATGAAGGTGCTTCACGGCCACAACAGCTGGAGATCCCTTCACCAAGGCACCACCAAAATCAGCACCAATGCTTATCAAACTGGGAAGCCCAGACATGAAAGTACAGCAAGGAAAGAAGAAAAGAATGGGGAATGAAGAAGAAAAAGGTGTGAAGTAAAGGTTCCAAGACATACAGGAAAATAGCAGCTAAAACCCATGCAGTGAAAAACTACAGTTTCCATGGGCGGCTCAGTTCACTCAGCTGTTTGCTAATTCCCAGTTTGAGTTAGTTATTCTCAAAACTGATCATTAAAATCAAGAGACAGCTCTCAAAGAGGCCTTCAGAAAAACAAACAAAACTGCAACCACTTCCTATGCTAATTAAAAAAAAAAAAAAAAAGGTATCTACTGAATTTTCTTCCTCCAGAAACAGCAGCACTTTCAGGGGCTTGGGTTGCATTTTTTAATAGCCTTTGGGACACTCGGTATTGACAGCTGGAAAAGCTGGAAGCTGCATCCTTAAGAAATGGCCCTTCCCAAAGGGCTGGGGATGCTCCTTAATGCAGCCCCACTCAAACAAACCCCCATTTAACCACTGTTTTCCGTTCCCATATTTTATTTCCCAATACCACCAATTATTGAGAGGGAGCTCAAGAGAGAAGCTCTTACGTTCAGAACAGTTTGGGTTTGGAAAATAACCAGAGGCTCCGTCCAAGTTCATGGAAGTGACACTGCATGAAAGCAGGTTTCCCCTCATGTAATTTCATTTGCATAATGATGTGTTAAGCACTGGCAAGAACCAAGCTATAGAACAGTGCCCTACATTATATTTCAGTTAGAAAAAATGTCCATCTCGCGGGGTTTTCTTTTTTTTTTTTTTTTTTTGTAATTTGTGTGCTGTTTAACTTACCATAGAGCAGGAACCTAAGCAACTAAAAATGATGCAGAGACGTCTACAAAGCAGGCACAAAATTAAAAACAGTCTTAAGATAGATGTGAAAAATACTCTGAGAAAAACAGATTTATGTTTCACTCCAGCATGCTGGGAAGGAGCAGTTCTTGCAACTCTGCTGCTTGTTTTCAGCAAATAACCAAGTTACCATTGGCATGCTCTGATCCAAAAGTGAGAGATGAAGAGTTAATTCACGTGGATGTACACGAAGGGGAAGCACTAGGTGAAGAGCAAGGGCAATAATAATATTGGCTCTGCTGAACACATGGAAATGCTAGTGGAGACTATTTAGCTTTAAATAAAGTCCCAGTGTACCTGACAGTGACCCAACACAGCTCAGAGGAGCTAGTTGTCCTCATCTTTTCTCACCTCAAGCTTTGGTAAGAAGATAGCGGAGTGAGGGACCACTTCCAGTGCAGACCAGAACAAGGTAAAAACCTGGAGCAGCACAACACAAATATTCCTTAAAACTGTACTGCTGTTCTGCAGGCCAGCAGTGGTTATTCTAATTAAAGAGAATCTTTATTTCTACAACAAACCTCTTATTTCTGGGTCTTTATTTTTGTAGATACTGCTGCAAATAAGGCAGAACCTCTTGCAAGAGAGTATGTGGGCCATGCAGTTCAGTGGCAGTAACAACCACGTGCAACCGAGAGAAACTCTGCAGAACAGCCTCAAATTCAATTCATTTTGCTTTTGCAGACTGCAGGAGCAGGCCTGGAGTTGGATAATGAAGATTAAGGATGTCACAGAACATGAAACTATCACATTTAATTAGACTTTTCTCCCTTCTCATCCTCAGCTTAGACTACATCTTCAAAGTAGTCTCCTAGTTTGTTTTTTTTTCCCATTAGTCCTATTATACATTGTGTATTATTCACACTAAAAAAAGCACTAATAAACACAGAACTGTTTATAGAGGGGAAGCATTTTCACATCCCTACCGGATTCCCATTAAGACTTACAATGGAATAGCAGCTTTTTGGGGAGAACCTGAAAGTTAGACAAGCAGAAGAGATACAGGCAGGTTGAGTGCCCAGCCAAAGTGCTTGAGGAGCCTTAAGTTTCTCTTCCATCTCTAAGTCCCTCTCTTCCTCCTAAATGAAAATCCAGAGGTGATGGGGAAGGGGTGCACCGTGGCTGGGTACCCGGACACGGAGATCTCCCCAACGTTTTGCTTGTGCTAGGAGTAAGGAGAAGAGACAGAAGAGCTGGAAGGGGAAGGCAACCAATAACTCCAATCTCTTCCTCACTAAAAGACATTTTCTGAGGGCAAATAGTGCCAGAGGAAGTGGTAGGTATTCCTCCCCTCCTGTTTTTTTTTAATTTAATCTTAAAAAAAGTCCAGACTTCCCACTGAGAGCCCTACCTGGATGAATAATATGACCTCTATTACAACAGACCTTGGGGTAGCTGACCCAGTAGACACTTCTGAAGTTAAACTTTGTTTATCTGTAAAGTACAATTATAAGCAGAGACCTTAAGATATATAAGGATCAATGGGGAAAAAAAAAGAAAAAAAAAAAAGAGAGAGAGAGAGAGAGAGAAGCATCACCTAAAAAGCACAAGTTTATGGGAAAATAATTGTGGCACAGAACATTCTGCAGCTTGTTTAAAGGGGGAACACACAGAGCTTAATTGCTTTAAAAAGTAGTCAAACACTTGTCTGCCAGCCAGTTTGGAGGGGCTTAATTTAGCATTCTGGAATACACTATACACCAAGTGCTAGCAACGTACTTGTGAAAATTCTTCTTCCTTCCAATTTTGGCCAAAGTTTCCCCAGTCTGCTTGCAATTTAAGCTACATGTTTCCTTAAAAGTCTTTTCAAGAATATTTTAGGCTTCAGAACAGCGTTGTTGGGAAGTGTGAAGGAAGGAGACGCATTTTTAATTCTAGACCTCCACAATTCCTGGAAGTCTCTGAGCAGAAATAAAATGAACCCCCTCAACCAGCTCCTCTTCAGGGAGGAAAAGGAGAAAAAAGAGAAACAGAGTAATGGTTGCTCGGATTAGGAAACAGGATGACTTCACACTCGGAATAACAGCCTGTTCTCTGTATGGAAAAGAAAACATGAAGCTGAGAAAGGTTAAAAGAAAACAATGTGATAGGTCACAATTTCAAAAAAATAATAAAAGAAAACATGAAGCTGAGAAAGGTTAAAAAACAATGTGATAGGTCACAATTTGAAAAAAATAAAATAAATATAAAAGTCAAGTCATATACAAACAGTATAACAAAAGGGGAAAAAGAACACACTCGGATTAAAACTGCAAATAAACAGCAGCAGCCTAGAGGATTTCAGCTGCCCAGCTGGATGGATGAAGACCGTGTTGACATTTAAAAGGGAGTAGCTAAAAATGATGGTGTCTATTCAAATAATGTAACGGGTGATAATTTCAAGAGGAGGAGGAGGAAAGGTGTCTACCTGAGTCTTTTTCCCCCCTACCTCTATATCCACACCAGTGATCAGAAGTTTGTATTAACTAGCAAAACATTAAGCACAAGTTCCCCAAGTCAAGGCTGTTTTGCCCACAGATCCCCTGAGCTTCCCATGGAGCGTGGGGAGAAGGGGACAACGTCCATAAAGCAGGAGGTTGTTGAGGTTTTGAATCTCCAGTGCTGGATATAATTAACAAATAACTGACTAAGCCTACTCTGAAATTGCACTCATATTTCTTA